CCGGTCGCCTGAAAAAAAGTGGGTACATGATAACGTAATCTTCCGCAGTGTTTACAACGGTCAGTTACGTCTCTGTATGTCTTATCTACTCTGTGACCTGTACTTGCATTTCTCCCAACTGTTCCTGGTTGGGTCAAAATGTATTTAAAATATCATTAATGATTCATAAACCTTGTGGCAAATCATGTCAGCCATAATATGTCACGTGGAGTGACTTTATATCTGATAAAACTCATCTTCATTAGTAATCCATGGTTCGAGTGAGATGCCAACAAAATCTCGATATTCAGGCTAAACATGGCCCACATTCTACTCTGCCAGTGTTACTCGTTCAACTATCACACGAAATACTACATTTTGTTGGTTTAAGTATCGTTTTAATAAAGCTCAATAAAAAGTACAAAATTCAAGCATGCTGCTTTGTCACGTGACACTTCTCTTCTACAGTTACCCAAGACAGTGTGATTTAAATTGGTCACGTCACACCAACAGCTTTACAAACATACTTTTAAGGGGCAAAAAATGGAATAAATATGATGAGTGAAAAATGTTGACATCACGTGATGCTAATGAATAATTATTTTTTTATTTAGGTCAGGACATTGATGTCAAAGTTCTTCCCTCCACTCCAGATCATTTTAATGATGTTAGATTTACAACACATGGCGCAATTGATGGAAGTTTTTCTGCAGATCCTACAGTCATGTACAGGAACCAGTGGTCAATCTTAGAGGCGGAGATGGTTGATTGCTACGACAATGTTGTCCATGAATTAAGTAATGACTACAACATTGGTTTACAGTTGTTCAACGATGAGGGAAAGGTGATGGAAATGGAATACAAAGATGTGGAATTTCGAAATAAAAGGCTTCGAGTAGAAGTGAAGATTATTGAGGCTGGGAAATATCATCCAGCAATAATTCTGATCAGTAGAAACAGTCACAGTCAAGTAGTCCGTTTGCAAGAGATTCAAATACAAGTCAATGACGCACCATTGTACCTGGCTAGATCGAAATTCCTTCATCCCAAAACCTGCGTGGCTGGCAAAGAAATTCAGTTAGAAATTTGTCCACTTGATGTATTTGGTTGTCCCTTGCCTGCTGACTCGACTATTGATTGTAATCTCAACGGAGATATTCTAAATTTACTTTGGGAACTGAATGAGAACATGGAAACCATGGACTTCAGGATAATCAAGAACGAATCGAATGTTGTAATTTACGTTTCAATCGTCCTAAGAAAAGCTGGTCGTAGAAAAGTGAGGATCTATGACAAGGATAATAAATCAAAGGAGCTAAGCATTCAAGTTAATCCTGATGTAAATGATGTGCACTGGGAGCTTACTGCTCCAAAACAAACTGCTTATAGAAGAGAAAATTTGATCTTAACAGTGTGTTTGTTTGATTGTTTTAACAATGAAGTGCGGACTGATGCATTAGAAAATATCCCACAGCTTATAAAGAGGGATGGACCTGATGGATTGCGTTTTACAGGAGAGTCCAACAACAAAGTTACAACTTGTTACAACTTCAAGCGAACAGGGAAATACGATTTTTGTTTAGCCGATCGAGGTGGTACTATTCTTGAGGGTACTTCACTCTTAATCACTGTGCAGGATGCTCCTTTAGATTATCACCGTTCAACCATTGAATGGATACCTGAATATGATGATATTCCAGATCAACCTGTGTTCCCCGAAGATGAAACATTTCAATGTTTCTTGAGACTGAAAGATGTACTTGGTTATGATTATGACACAAAAATAGCAAAGGATTGTATTAAAGTGAGATATGGTAACATCGTGGTGGAAAACATAGAGATCTCTTCTTGTCCGAACGATGTTGGATCCTACAATATTGTGGTTCCATTGAAGAATCTTGTGAAAGATGATGCAAGCCCGAGATTTTGGTTCTTTGTAAATGCCAGGAAAATTGAAAACTCCCTGATTTTGCCAACATTCAAAAGATTTGAGAAGTATGATGATGATAGGAACTGTTTTGTACGGTATAGAAGACACGCATTTGCAAAGATTGTTTGCTGCGGTGTTAAGAGAAACGACATCATTGGAAGTGATTATGCTCACTTAAATAATATCAAGAGAGTTTGCGAATTGCAAGACGATCCCAAAGTTGAAACTTGCCAATTCATTGAACCAATTAGAACATATGTCATTCGTACAGGTACAGTTATTGAACTTCCACTTGACGAAATCGAATACAAAAGACTGGGACGTCGGAGAATTGAATGTCCACCTGAAGAAATCGCAAACAAAATACAGAAATGTCGGAGTATTTTGTTGCATCTTATCAGGGCTACCTATTATCGCGAAGAGGCGTTTAAATTAGACGAGGCTCGAGAAGATTGGAAAGAGAGGGCAAGTGAAAATTACAACAAAATTGAAGAAGGAGAAAATATTGACAAACACCTTCCTCATTTTTGCAGCCAAATCAAAGAAAAATACGCCGGACTTATGAGAAAATATCACGATGCTGCATGCGACGAGGTTTTTCAGTTTTTTAATGCCAAACGTGATCAGAGTGAGATTGATCTTCATGGATTGTTGGTTGTGGATGAAACGAAGCTCCGGGATTATGAGCGGCAACTTCTTCGCAGAGGCCGCATGAGTTTGGCCCAAGTGCAAAGAAAAATCGCAGAAGAACGCGATCATGGCAATGAGGCTATAAGGTATTGTACATTTACTCTCTTAATCTATTTATACCTCGCATATATAATACATGTTTGAAAAAATTGACATAGTCCCTTGTAGGTTTGATAGCAATAATTATAATTAATTTGATTGTGGAAAACGCCAGGGGTGTTTATTCACAAAGCTTTCGGTCCGTAAGCTTAAAGACAAACCGGACGCGATTCGACAACGCGGTGTGATTTTTCGATTTTCGCTGACTGACAACGTTTAAGTTTTCTAAATATTTAGAAGCTATAACATTCTGAGTTATTTGGTCTACACATCTTATAAAATTTTCTTTCATTGGCTGTTTTATTAATTTTCAAAAGCTGAAAAATCGCGCCGTGTTGTCGAATCTCGTCGAGTGTTCTCGGCCTTCAGTAAATAGCCTGCCCAACGCATATATTATGATCTCTATCATACTTCTTATTTCTCTTTTCTGTCCAAAGACTGAAGTATAGTCGAAAATGGTTTAGTGAGAGCTCTTTTACTAGCTAGGCGCCGAGAAAGTTCAGGAGATCTTACTTGGGGGGTCTCCCTCTTGTGTGAACCAGGGGGAAGTTGCCCTCTGCCTCTCTTAGCAGCTCTGTTAGTAGAAACTCTTTTTACTATTGCAACCATAGGAAATTGCGAAAAAGGCTCGATCATTATGACATGAGAAAAGCCAAAGAAGAGGGCGAGCCATGGCTTGAGATCATCGTTGGTTCTGGTCATCACTCTAAAGTACGGCAAAACTCTAAAGTACGACAAAGAATCCGACCAAAGGTTGAACAGTACTTAAGAGAAAGACAGTTGAAATTTTTTCCAGTTAACAAAGGAGCGTTGGTGATCACATTTGAAGAGTATACCGGAAGTGAGCCATGTTTTGGAGAGTACTATTGCAACAAATGTGACAAGAGATGGCGAAATGGTCGAAGTTGGATTGGCAAGTGGCAAGCTTGTTACGACTGCTACGAAAAGAAACAATTACTCAAGAGATGCTACCCACTCAAGCAACGCTCTACAAGAAAACAGCAGAGATACATTCCCAATATTGTTTCAAGAAACCAACGGCCAATTCCCGAACACCTTGAAAGACTTTGTGAAAAGTGTATTGAACTAGGACGGCCATGTCCACGAGCGTGGTGATTTCACCAATCACGTACGAGGGAGAAAAAAGTTCACCAGGAAGTGAAAGAACTCGAAAATTTTAAGGATTTTGATTAGATTTAATTAATGATTGATTGATTGATTGATTGATTGATTGAGCTCAGGATGGATTATATCAGGACATAGGTAAGGTCTATACCATAAGAATTAGTTATCTCGAATTCGTTGATAATCCATGAATAAATTAGCCAACCATATTACTTTATTTTGCTTCACAATGCATAATTAAGATATCGATCCAATAGTTTGTTTAGTCACACATTTCCTTTTGCTGGGTTTTTAAAATAAATTCATGAAGAATTGACCTTTCTCGCGAAGTTTCACTATCTGCATGCCTATCAAGGAGTGAATAAGTCGCTTTTGTATTTGGGTATTGTTGTAGACTTGTAGAACTGTTTCTACCGTAATAAATATATTTATTGCGACCGCCGTTAGAATTCTGGTCCCCAGAGCCATTTTCTCTCGGTCACTTTAGGTTAGACGACTAAAATAACTGCTATTTCGTAGTTGAGCAATTTTCGCTAAAACATTTTTCTGCAATGGTTTCGTGTATTCCAGGATCTATGAAGATCGCGCGCGGCCGTGAGGCCCTGGGGACAAGGATGGGCGACCGCTCGAAAGACGTGAAGCGTCCGTTGTTAATCTTGTTCCCCGAGCCTGCGATCCTCAGGAAGGAACGTGAAGCTCTGGGACAATCTGTTTCAGGGAGGAATCTGATTGGCCGTTGATATGGAATGCGTAGTTCGGTCTTAGCCAGGATTCCTGGCTTCCGGCAACGGATTATCCCAGATCCTCACGTCCCTTGCTGACGATCGCAGGCTTGGGGAACGAGATTGGTGCGTTGTTTGCCTTGAAATGTAGACAGCGTTGGTTAAGATTACTTATTCACAGCGTAAAACTCGCCATCTAAGGATTAAGGAACCAGTACTATTATTAGTTTGCATGCAAAATTCAAGCAAAATTTGGCTGAAAGCCACAAGCGCAGAAGCCCTGGGTACGACGTAAAAACACATAGTTTTTCTTCAAAACAGTTAAAACAGTGTACTCTTTTAATTAAGCGCCGCCCTCGACCAAGCACAGCACTTGGGTACGAAATTGCAATCTTTAACAAGTTCAGCCTCGGGGACTTTTTTTCTTCTGTAGTCTATATCAGAGATTTTATGTTTTTTGCTAAATTTATTTGCTTATAACTTCAATATGTAAGTGCATCGTAATTAAAGTACGGCAGGTGTCAAAATGTACTACGTCTTCAATACAGACTACAGCCCCTGTGTCCCAACAACTTAACGCTCAATAGAGCGTCTTGTTTTGACTAAACTATGTTCGCAATTATTTAAATTAGCGGCGGCACCAGCTAACAAGCAAATTTAGCAACAGTAGTACATTGTTTTTCAAACAGTATTAATATATTCATGAGCAAATAATACTCGAATTCGTCTCACTTAATTTGAGTTAAAATTATAGTTAATAATTATCTCTTAACTATGTATACTTTTTGGTTGTGAAATGCGTACAACAGACACAGCAAAAAACATAATAAATGTTTAAACTGTTTACATGCATGGAGAGTTTCGTTTCCGAACTGAAATTGTTTCACCTGATTTAGTTTACATAGAAATGTCAGAAATGCTGCCCCAGTTTAAATTCTCGCAGCTCTTTACAAAGAACGGCTGCGAGGGGGGCTACAGTACATGTAGTATTTAAAACACGAGTATGCAGGAGTGCTTTATCATGGGTAAAAACATGAGAGCGTAGTTCGAGTGTTTTATATCTATCTGATAAAGCACGAAATGCGAGTGTTTTAAATGGCTTAAAAAACGACCTGTCTGATGAGTTCATTGGCCAAATAATTTTAACAATAAACGTTTTCTAAGTCTGCAAAGCCAATAAAAGACAAAGTCTATGTAAATGATCATGATTTTTATCACATATAAAACCGACATGGTACAATATAGCTTCTGTGTTCAGAATAATGAAATTGTTTCGTTCTTTATGAAACTTCCATCCAAAATAGGGAAAGTTTTCTGAACAGTGAAATATCTCACTGTCAGCCCTAAACTAATATTAATCTTTTTGAACATATACAATTATATATTTCATGCAAATCTATACTTTGTTTAGGAAATTCACTACCCTTGTTATTCATAATTGATGACTTCATGCAGTGTTATTGGTCTTATTTTTCCCCTTGCTATCACGCAAACAGTCTAAAACTTAAAAACGCTTAAATTTGCTTGTTTATCATTTATGTATACGAAATAAGTTTAAAACTGTCGGGATTTTTTCAAAATTGAAAGACACAAAGGCGTTTTCGATTTCTTTAGTATGAAAACGGGACGTCTCGATCGGCATAGTCCAAAAGAGACTGTAAATTAGGTCATTATTTATTAATAGATCGAACAAAAAACCTTTGCGTACAGATATATCCTTTGATATTTTAAACTTAGTATTCATGCCAGCGCGGTCAATTCCGTTAATTTTATTATGGGGAAATGAATTCACGCGAGGGTCCAAAAGCGACGTCAATTCACTTTTCATTTGCGCAATTTACAGAAGTTCATAGCTAACCTAGTTAGATATCCCACGCTCACGGGCATTCTTTCCCACCTCAAAACCACTGGCCACACAATTTTCATTGATGACTTCAAAATTCTTTCAACCTGCACCATCAACCCTAGCTTGCCCAAATGAAAAGTGAATTGACGTCGCTTTTAGACCATCAATTCTGATGAATTTCTAACTCGCAAAAGTCTTAATTTCCTGCGGGAGGAAACCGTAGCACCGGGGAAAAAACCCACGACTTTCGACAGAGCGTTGACTGACTCTTCACATGAATCCATAGCGAAAACCGAACCCACAAAGGTGAAATGCGCATGCTCTGACCGCTACGCCATCGATGTTCCAAAATATCCAAATTCAGGCCTTCCTTTTAAAGAAGCAAGGTAGTTCTGACCCTCTTTTCCTACTCTAATTCCCGCCTTCCTATAATCTACTTCCCGTCCACACTCTCGTTTCCTTGTTTTCTGTCTCTGTAATTTAATACATTGTCATTGTAATTGACCGATTCTAAAACTAGCTAATAAACAATTTTTCAACCGAGACTGTTATTTAAGGCCCATTTAAGGCAAAGTCATTGACATAATCCTTGTCATTGACATTGTAATTTTACTGTTAGTCTGAAGATGTCTTAAGACGTCACTTTCCATAATTTTGTTTTATATATTTGTGTATGGCTCTATTCAAAACATTATGCAGAACTCTTATTTTCAACAGAAAAACTCTTTACGACTTTAGTTTAGTGCCCCCTCCCCGACATGGAATTTATGCAGCAAGATGCATGCATAACACAACGCTATATTAATTAAAAGTTTGGTCAACTATAAACGCACAGCCAAGTTTGTACCAGTCTAGCCGCGCGTGGGAAGACGGAAAAACATTCCTAATTTAGCTACTCTGCAAAGACTAATGTCCATTTAAGAAACCTTTACCAAATTGAATTTGTCTATCCTTAAATTTACTCAAAACTAAGCCATTTTAATTGGTTAAAACCTTGTTACATTACAATTGACGCTGGTTTTAATTTTTGCCGTGAAGTTTTTGTTGTGGAACAAACATCAAAATCATGTTTTTACAGGTCAGGTTTAGCGGCTGTTTTTACACCGACAGGTAGTTAATAGTTTTTTAACCAAAACACTGCGGGCCGAAAAACAAAACGGAGTTTGTCTTTAAACAATTCGGTGTTTTTCGCACGGCAGCGTTATACTGGCAGTCGGATAATAGGCTATAGTCTTAGTTTGTAAGGGGAAATTCAATTGTACTCTGTTTTATATTAGTTTGCTTTTAAAAGAGGTAGTTATGGAATGCAAAAGCAGCGAAATTAATGGTGAGAACGTTGGAAAATTGGTAAGAATATTTTTACAACGTTGTTTATATATTGAGTCATGAACTTTGCAGGTTTAATTTAATGTTGTGAATATTATTTGGAATTGTGTCAAATGTTCGTCGAAGAACTGTGCTTATTATCTCCATGCAAATCACTCCCAGGCTGAATATATATTCTAAAAGCATCTAATGGATGAATGAAATAGGATATAATCACAGGAGATGTTTTTTTAAATAAAATCATCTGGTATTAAAAAGATTCAAAACTTCAAAATAATTCTTGCATGACAAAGTTCAGCATGCACAAATCTTCAGGTGGCATAGGCAGTGTTTATTGTTATCTCTGCTTCCAGAGTTCAATTCCGCAGAAAAGTTTCCAATTTCTTCATGCATAGGATGTTCTGTTTTCAAGTCAACTGAGCTACAGAGTCAAGTTAACGAGCATTAATTGGTACAAGTTCTTCTGTATATGAGTAATGGCAGTAGAAGGTGACCTGGAAAAAAGTGGGATCTCGTGGTCCTGGATTCTGAGGAACATTTGCCTTAGCAACAAGATTGAGGAACTTTTTGAATTTTTCACGCGTACTTTAAGGGAGAATTTTAAGGAATCATATATTGGTTATCTGCCATTTGAGTCTATCTTGAGATTGTGAAGTGTTCTTCATACCCTGTTAATAGAATTTGAAGATTGTTTTGTTTCCTCAGCAATTTTACAACCAGTATAATTGATCGAGGAACATTTGAAAAAGGCAAATTTCGGATCCGAGGAACATTGAACACTTTTTCCAAGTCTGGAAGGTGTATGGGTAAATATCAAGATTCTTGGCATCTTGCTCGATTGAACTATGTAGTTGTTGATGTATTTTTGGTAGATGGAATGTCGAGCGAAAGATTTCTATACAATTTTCAGACCAAATTGTATATAAATCTTTCGCTCAAAATTCCATCTGCCAAAAACACATCAACAATTAGTTCAATGAAGCAAGATGCTCAAAATTGTGTTTTTTATTTATCCCATACATAGACTAGCCCTTCGGAAACAAAGCTTGTAGTTTCCTATATTTAGCCAGGTTTTCCGAAGGTGGGCTAACCAGGAAACATTGTTTCTGCAGCAAAAATCACTAAGATGTTTCTAAATTTGACGAGAAACAATAGTTTTCTTTTTGAAAAGAAAATGTTTGTTGTTTTTTGTCGCCGTTCCCATGCCCTGTGGTGGACACACAAGAAAACATTCAGCAATTCAAATTTTCAAAATCACTATATTTTCTATACAATTGTTTTTAATCTTCCCAAATGATAGAGTATTAAAAATGTTTTATTTCAGAGAAGAAAAAGAAATTCTGTTGCGAGGTCCACAGACTCTCCAGCAGTACAAACTTCGGATGTCAACGACAATCTCCGGTCACCGAAGCGACCTCGAACTGACGGCGACAACTTACGATTCTCATCTCAACTTTTGGATTTCTATTTGTACGGACGGATTTCAAAGTTTGCTCAACCTTTAAAAGGCAAGCTAAAATTTTTTTTGATACGTTGCCATCTCCAATGTTAACGTTGATTTACAGTAGCTACACGTAGAAAGCGCCACTACCGGAAAAATATGGAGGTTGTTGCATTCTTCGACCAAACATTCTTGAATGTGATAGTAATAACTGTTCTTCTTCAAATACCAGGAAACAGGTGGGAAAATTGTCTGAGCATGCGCGAAACTGCGCGGGTTTTCAGATATGTGTGTTTCCACTTGATTTAAAAACGAAAACAACATGAACGAAGCCTTCGAAAGACAATTTTGCAGCGGCAGTTTAGGGCCATAAATCACCACAAAAATTGGATTAACTGAACAAACAAATGTTGCAGCAACACTTTGATTTCCTCTATTGCCACAATTTTTACAATGTAAACAATTAATATTGATTATTTCAGTGCAAAACAAAACAGAGCGAAAAATTTCCTTTCAAAATGTCGTCTGATAGCTTCAATAAAATGTGAAATTCAAACAAAAAATACTAACCCTTCTACATTTTTTACAAAACCAAGAAATTTAACCTCTGGCAGAGGTATACGGTATCCAAGTGCCTTCTAGTCTCGACTTTAATTAATTTCGTGTATTTTGTTTCAGAAGCTGATCCCGAAACGAAAAATGTTAAATATCCTCCTGGGATGTTTCCTTGCACATCCTCTATACCCGGCAGTAATTTTGGAGTTTATTGTTCGAGATTCATCCCGGTTGGAACTTGGATTGGACCTTTCGAAGGAGAGGTGATAAGACCCGAGGAACTAACTGCCGATCGGGATAATGGACACATGTGGGAGGTAGGCCTGCTAGTTTTTAGTTAAGGAGTTTTAGTGTTAGATCATTGGTTTTAGTATATGGAAATTATATACACTTTTCAGACCTAACCAGGAACAGTTGCAACTTCAATAGGGCGAGTTGCCAAAAATCTTGATATTTGGTACGAGCCATGTTTCTTAAAGCTCTGGTCAAACGAGGGTGAGAGTTGTCAAGCGAGAGTTTGCATGAGAGTTTTCTCAGCTCCCGTACCTTGTTTAAGCAAGCGAGAACAAGAGACGCGTGAGAGTTGATGAGAGTTTGAGTGGATATTACCGCGCGTCGCAAAAACTCGATCTCATCGATCAAAATTCGAAGAGACATTCAAATTAAAAGTTGATGCATGAGTGTTGATAAGAATTGGTGAGGGTTGATATTCAAATTCATGGGCGTACTGGAAGGAAAAAATTAGGGGGCGGAAAGAAATTTACCCGACTTTTTCGGATAGTGCCCGACCAGTGCCGAAAATTTTTTTTCCGGAACAAATTCATTTTGACGACCCCCCCACCCCGTCGCCAAAAAAAATTCGGTCAGTGTACCATTTTAGGGGTCCGAAAATTTTTCGGACATACCAAAATTTTTCGGAACATCACACAAATTTTCCAGACATCGCAAAATTGACCACAGAATTGACAGAATTTCCCACAAAATTGACAGAAATTGTCCCATTTTTTTTATACTAGGCCAATATTGCCCGGCTGTGGAGCGAATATTGCCCGACTGGCTTTGTTTGCCCAACAAACTGTTCAAATTCAAAGTTGATGAGAGTTGATAATTAGAGTGCATGACTTGAGCGTTTGCAGTGATACGCGAGCGAGAGTTGCCGCAACTCTCAACAACTTTCATTTTCGTTTGACCGGGGCTTACAGTAGGTGGATGAATTCTACAAGTGTGGTGTGCTAATCATCCTTACTTCCAGCTGAAACCTAAGCTGAATTGCGAAGCACTTAGCTCCACCTAATCCAGTCGAAGGCTTTCTAAGGGCGCCTCTGGCAGCCACCTTATGACTTGTGTCTCATCACGGAGCACAGTTTTGGTGGTGATCCCATGCAACCCACTCAGTTAAGTGGTAATCCCAACCAGGGCCTTTTTTAAGGATTTTCTCATGGGGGGGGGGGGATTTTTTGAAAAGGGACCTTTCTGTGAGATAATATATTAGAGGGGGATAGCAATGGCTGAAGGCCACGTGTGTGGCCAATATACCACGCATGAATGGGGGGGGGGGTCTGGGGTGTACTCCCCCAGAAAATTTTTGAAATTTGAATCCCGGAAATGTCATTTCCTGCATTCTGAGCATCCAAATTTGCTCCAAAATTTATGCTAACTATACTTGTATTTGAAATAAATAAAGGGGAAAAAAAACGCACAAAAAGTAAAAAAAAATTAACCATCATTTATCATTACTTATTAGAGGAGGATAGCAATGGTCAGGTGTGTGGGGGTGTACTCCCCCAGAAAATTTTTGAAATTTGAAGCACGGAAATGCCATTTCCTGCATTCTGAGCATCCAAATTTGCTCTAAAATTTATGCTAACTATACTTGTATTTGAAATAAAAGAAGGAAAAAATGCACAAAAAGTAAAAAAGAATATTAACCGTAATTTATCATTAAGCTACTTATTAAAGGGATAATCCGCCGAAAATTTTTGAAATTTGAAACCCGGAAATGCTATTTCCTGCATTCTGTGCATCCAAAAAATAAAAAAATTATTAACAATAATTTATCATTACTTAGTTGGTAGAAAAACATAATTTAAATAGATTTTGTTAAACAAGGACAAAGGATAAAGCCTAAAACTTACTTTCCGTTTATCTATTTGTTAATCTTCGCTGGTTTGTTTGTATAATTTTAGGAAAAAGGGACTTTTACTGGGGGGGGAAATGTGATTTCGTGGGGGGGGGCACAGGGGGGACTGGGGGGTCATTTGCCCCCCTCAGCTTGTATGTTAAAAAAGGCCCTGATCCCAACCCACCCCGTCAACATTACCTGTGGGAGGAAACCGGGGAGTACCCGGCGAAAACCTACGACTTTCGGTAAACTCTCTTCACATAAGTGTGAAAGTGTCATGTTTCTGCAACGAAAATCGAACCAGAGGAACGGTCTCACAGGTAATAGGATTTGTGCGGTGATAAATGAGATTTTTTGCAGTACTGATTTACTTTAATATTTAAATGTAGGTGATATTAATTCGTGAGAGGAGTGCATAATTTATCACAAATTAAATTGTCCAAAAGCACGATAAGCATAAGTTACGCCTTTCCAATTTTATATAGAATTCTATATGGCCTAATATTCAATCTTTCAAAATGGAATGTATCAAAAATTGTGTCTGACAATGCAGGAAATCGACCTCAGGAGGCTAAAAAATACGAAAATTTTCTGGATAAGGATCCCCAGGTCCCCCGAAAAGTTGTGTCTTGTGATGCATTTCCTAGTTGGGTCCCTTTTCCAGTACAACACTGAATAATATATAATCCTTCGCTATATGACGTACTGCTATTTTATGTTTTTTTTGCGCAGTAATAAAATTTCTTTAAAATACTCCCTGCTCTAAGTTCTTACTAAAATTGTTCATATGTTTCCAGATCTACAAGGACGGCAAGCTAAGTCACTATGTGGACGGCAACGATACGAAATTCTCGAACTGGATGAGTATGATCCAGTGCGCTCGTCATAAAGAAGAACAAAATATGACAGTATTTCAGTACAATGGCAATCTGTATTACCGCGCATTTAGAGATATTTTACCTTATACAGAGTTATTGGTGTGGTATGATGATAGATATTCAGATAGTATGGATATAGAGCGGATATCTATGGCTGGCTCTGAGGCTTTCTCATCAAGGATTTCAGGTAATAGAGCGAATTTTGTATTTTTTCAACAAAAAAATTTCTTCATAAGTATATTAAGTTAAGTTGTATTACAATCATAGATATCTTATATACACTAGATAGCGCATCTCTTTTAGTAAAATTGAACTAGCCAAGAATATTCCAGCGGTTACCCCCATTTGAATAGATTTAATTTTTTTAATTTTTAATTTTATAAACTTCGTCACAATATAAATTACATATATAAATACTATAATGACTATAACACATTCCAAACTATCCTTACATGTATCGTTTTCCAGGACTAACAACTGTTAAACCATATTAAAACAGACTAAAACAGACATGAAAACCGTAGATGCAAGAAACAATACAACAATTTACAACAATTGTGACAGGGTATTCACGACAGCTTTTGGCCAATTACTGTGATCCCATTAGACAACAAACAAATTATCTTAAACTATACAAAGCATTCACATTGTCTCTTAAAAAATTATTATTTAAAAACAGCATGCAAGAGGTTTAGTGAGATCATGAGTCTGATTACACTTTAAACAAATTGTTTTCCACGAACGAGGATCATCTATGTTATAATTAACTAATTGTAAAGCAGAGAGGTAGTAGTCAAGTAAATATTTTTTAAAGGTATATAAAGAATTAGATTTATTAGTTATGAGTTTTGGTAAAGTATTCCAGATCCTTGTTGATCTGATTGTATATTAAGACTGTTGGTATATCGCTGTATAGCATTAGATGGAGGCCATGTTGAAATTTCCCACACGTATAAATAAACGCTTAAAAAACAACAATAACTTTCATCATTTGAATAGTTTGAAAATGTATTTTGAATATCCCTGTTTAAGAAATAGAAAACATAGGAGTCTTCTCATTTTATAAGAATATCCTGAGTCTGCAATCACGTTGCAGAATAATTAGATGCACTATCTAGTGTATATAAGATATTTATGATTACAATATGTTTCGCTTATTTTGGTAAGAAAAGATGTTGTAACTCTAAAAATTTGTCTAAATGACTTTTTTCTAAGAAAAGATAATTTGAGCATAAAAACGTACTGTTTGTAAAATCTAAAGGACTATAAGCAGCATTAATAGTTAAAATAACATCCCCAGTATGCTTACAATAAACTGTAATTGCTTTTTATTTTAGCAATCCATTCATATGAAAGCAGTTACAGGCGTGCAGGAATTGAAAATTTAGAACAGGTAAAAATTTTCCAATATTTTGTAAGTAACAGAGGTGGCTGAAATCATTTGACTGCCATTTCACGCAATGTAATCAAAAATTTAAAATATTGAATGGAGTCATAAGCAAACTTGTAGCAATGCTCAACTTGTCAACAGGATGTGTTATCACTGCTTGTTCCCAGCTTGTTGACAACTGACAACTTGCTACAAGGTTGTTGAGCTCAACAGACTTGTTACAAGTTGTTCCAACAACTTGTTATCGTCCTGCAATTCAACAACTTGATAACAAGTTGTGAGTGACACAACCTTGTAGCAACTTGATAAAATAACAACGTTGTTACAACTTGTTGACAAACTTGCTGCAAGCCTGTTGTCGACAAGTTGTTGACAAGTTGTGAGATTGTGAGAGATCTACATAGATATATAAAAATCTCTGGTGTTACGTAGCGCTCATTGTTGTTAGTCTACAGAGCTCACTGGTGTTACTCTTTATATTACAGAATGGTGAAGTGCAGGCAAACGAGTACTTCGCCCTCAGTTCGTTGAACGAGACAAACCAATGGCGATGTGGACAATGTGAACAAACTTTCACCCAACGTGTCGCCTTACAGATGCACGTTTGCGACAAATCCCCGGAAAAACCTTTTCAGTGCGGCCAATGTCCGGCCTCGTTTTCGAATCCTGACGAACTACGGAGTCACGTGGTTGATCACGTCAGCGACAAGCCGTTCAAGTGCGGGTACTGCGGGCGCACGTTCAGCGGTTCTACCACGCTCAGTAACCATATAAGGACGCACACGGGTGAACGTCCGTTCAAATGTCGAAAATGCGGGAAATCTTTCAGCCAATCAACGCAGCTCAGCAGACACGAGAAGTCACGTGAGAACTGTGTGGAGAAGTAAACAAGTTAGTACACAACGAGTAAAGCCTGTTTCCGAGTAGCCTGCATGACAGGCGGTCCCTAAAATCGGGCAAGCCTGGGAAAGACCTAGGTTCACAGTAGCAATTCTGTCGGCGGTTTTCTCCTCCTGGCATATGTGATTGAATAAGTACATGCAATGATGCGAAAGACATGTTAACTTCCGAAAAGCGATTCGAGTTAATTCACTCATTCGCATCCGCCAGAAAGACAAAATCGCACAGGCTTTAAGACTTATCTCCCTACAAATCAGCAACTTATTAACACATTAAGTTATGAGTGACAAATCAGTGTGAAATCATTTATCCTCACGAAGGAATGGGAGAGCGCATATTAAATTTAACCATAAACTCAGAGCTCGATGGTGAATGGTGGCTTAAGCTTGCCAGCAAAGGTTGCTTTCAACTTTGACAGTGAAAAAATTGATCAACGGAGGATGTTTTTACTATAAGACATATTATATTTCTTCTTAGAAAGACCCAAGTATTACACATACAAAACATTATATTTGGGTTAATGGCTCTTTGATTAATTCCTTATTTTATACTACTAAATATTCATTTGTCCATATTGCAGTCATAGTCATATATACTGAAATTAATATACTTTAGTTCTAACAGTACTGGCTCAACTGGATGAGACAACTTTGGCAAAATGTGATTGCTGTCACTTGGGCCCCGTCTTATATCAGAGTAGCAATTCAAATCACTTTGATTGTTTAGAGAAGAAATTATTTCACTTTGTGAATTGCTAAAGTCGCTTGAGGGTTGTTGTGGTATTATTGGGGGTATGTGTTGATTACTGGGGTTATTTAGGGAATTTGCGTCGGCTTTGAGCTCGTCTATACTCCGTAATTGATGGGTGATATGGAACATTTGTGAGTCGTTAGGGATATCAGGACCATTTATTATCCCTGTTGTTTGGGGGATATCAGTAGGTATATGGTGATAACTTGGGGTGTCAGGCAAATTATGTAGATCACTTGGGATTGTTATTGGTTGTGGTTCGTAAATATCAGCGAGTATGTGTTGATCGCTTGGGGTAACAGGTGAATTTTGTAGATCACAAATGACATCAGGATCATTGTTGGTTATCGCCGGTAATTGGGGGACAGAGGTGAGAACAGTTTGATCATTAGGGATGTCTGGATAACTCGTTATGTTTGGTAATTTAGGTACAACAGGGGATGTATTAGGGGTGTTTTGGGGTGATGAAGGTACAATTACATGGTTCGAAAATTCATGATCCTTAGACGAAGTCAAAGACGAAAAACTGGACGCCCTAGATAATGCATGTTTTTTAGGGTTTTCAATGGATAAACCTTGATCCTCATCAGTACTAGAAGTTGTTTTATCCCCTTGTGAACTTTGATATCCCTCAAATGTATAAAAATTCGACGCTTGTTTTAAATGTTTAGAAAACCTTGGCTCTGGCGTGACGAAATATTCTGCCCTTTCCAGTAATGATAATTCATTCTCCGAAATTCTCAAGTCGCATATTATCCTTGGTACTCTATTGCTTAATTCCCTGCTGATTTTCCTTCGACATACCTCGCAGAATTTTGGTCCAATAGATTCGCAAAAACATCGTCGACGTATAGCTGAATTTCCCTCCCCGTTTGGTGTTCGAAAACACGGTGTCAGCCAGTCTAGTTGCGCTCTTTCAGTAGCTTTAAGGCGTTCGTGAACGTGCTTGTTAAGAACAGAGATTTCTAATTTTTTCGTGAATTCCTTCCGCCATGCATTCGTACTATTGTTGTCTTGAGTCTGTGATGTCCCCGAGCCATGTATTTTCGTCGTAAATTTTGGACTAATTTCTTTATCTTTTTCCAATGCCAAAGTCACATAATCAAATGAATATTGGCCATTCAACATTCGACTTTTCCTTGACATTTGCCAGTGCGTTTATAAACAGTCGCAGACATACAATGTCAAAAATAATGAATGATAACGATAAGTTTAGTCCATATAAAAACAACCCACAAGATCGAAAAAGGAGACTAGCCATGCAGTCCCGAAAACCATTATTTCACACAATTTCGCTAATAAATTGAATGAATTTTACTTGGGTTAGATTCGTATGTCCTTGCCAACGAAAAGTAAACAGTCTGATATTAGACACTGTTTAATTATAATCGGCTCGGATTACAGGATTTATGTACAGTTCATATTACAACGTAATTTCAAATGTCACTACTTTCATAATATATGCATGATTTCCCTGTTGTTAATAGGTACGCTTTTATTCATTTATTTAAGCAAAAACTATCTGTATTTTAGTCTAATTTATTTAAAAATTATGCAGATATTCATTCCGTATTATTTTCAGAGCAACAAAATATTCACTAATTCAGCATAAAATACTGCAGAAAAGAGCTCAAATTAACGGAGTTGTTTTTAATGAGAAATTTAAAGCGATAGTTAATTTTATGGGCGTATGTTACCTTGGTTTCCTGACAATGACACGATGCTGGTGTTCTTTGTGTCAGTTTGCTCATAAATTATCAAAAGTTTGAAAGAGCAATTAAAATTCAGAGCCTCAAACTCCCAGAGGTGATAAATTGCGAACTGTGATTGGCCAGTATTTCCCGATACACCAAAGACGAAGCCGAGCAGAATCGAACGGGAAGCATGGTCAAAAGGTTTGCGTTTAGGCTGGAGTATTACTTATTAGTATAAATCGACTAAACGTTTGGGAACTTGGTAGAAACGGCTTGAAGAGTGACTGAGCGGCAAAAAGTGGTAAGGGACTCATTTTGTTGTTAATAAAGGCATAAAAGTAGCTTCTTTAAGCGACGTGTAATTTAGCAGTCACAATTAATTAACATTCCTTTTGGCCTTTTCTATATAAAGTCTGGTCTTCACTCGCGATACAAGCACGAGGCTAGAATAAACTAGACTTACAGTGAAACATTCTAGATAAGCTTCGATAAAAGCATAAGAACTCTATAAAGCATAAACTGGGACGGAAGGCAAGCGAAATGCTTTCTGCTTGGACTTGGTATTTGCATTAGTTTGTCTTCGCATTGGTCCCTCGGGAGAAAACTGACCAGAACTCAGGATAACGTACCATGCTTCGGGAAGGTTTAATAAAACAGTGAACAAGAGCATACATTAAGGGCCTGTTCATATGGGCAAAAGTTATCCCGGTTAGCGAGAAAACTTTTCGACAAGTTTACAAGCGAGATCTCGCCTTGGTATGAAAATAATATGAAAAGTTACATTGCGTTCATATGAGACGAAAAGTTTTCCCGTGTACCGAGATCTCGCTTGTTGACAGGCGAGATCTCGGTGACCGGGATAATGTTTTCCCCATATGAACACAACTTTCCCGCTTAGCGG